GATCCTTGCTTCGTAGCCATGACATGCCCAAGATCATGTCGAATTTGGTGTCCAGAATGTCAAAGGACACCGCCTCACTTGCGTAAGGGGCAAAGTACACAAGGACGGCGTCAATGCACCGGTCGATGGACTTRTGCGTATGACCGTCTCCCAGGGTGACTTGCGTAGGCTGGGACTTCCTCCGGACACGTGGGCCAAGGCCGGCGCGTACCATGAAGTCCTGGCTGATGTAGTTGCGAGATGCTCCGCAATCGATCAAGGCACTGCAGGTCGCCTCTCCGATCTGAATGCGTACGTATAGCAATAGTGCGTCGATGTCGTCATACCGTTGCGTCTTGAACTCGCGGTCGATCTTTGCGATGTACGCGAGAAGGTCGACAACCTCTACTCCGACGTCCATCAACGGAGCTGGTACTGCAGTGTGCAAGTAGTCTCGCAATTGTGCCATAAGCACGTTGCAATGTGGTTTTGGCAATCGTCCGGTCGAGGGAACGGGCATCCACTGGAAGTCCGTGAACGTCAATGGGTCGAGCTCTTCAAGTCTTGACTGTAACGTCGAATCCCCGACGATAGATTGCGGCGAAGCTGCCGAATCGGTTGCCGATGGTGATGAAACCGTGCATGCGGTGGACTGTTGCACGTGGAGCGGTTGGTCCAGCGGTGGAACCAAGTGGACAGCATAATCCTCGTAAGTATACCTAGGACTAGCGACATTTGCATCCTCCCCAGATGTGCAGGAGACCGCTAGCAAGGCGGCTGAATCTGGCAGAGTAGAAGGTGGAGTCGCCTCACCTTCCGCGGAGCTCAATTTCCGGAGCTGAGGCGGGGTCGCACATCCTCCTTGCCCTGATCCTGGCACAGGGAGGTCTTGTGCTTGGTGCTGTTGCACCAATAGCAGCTGCCATAGCGGCCGCGGACCTTGTACTCCGCCTCGATCAAGCCAAACTTGACCCATGGAACTTGTACTGGCTGTCCATTTCCGGCCTACGATGCGGATTTCGCCTTCCCATTGTTGCGGGACTTGTTGTTGCTTCGCGGCTGGACAGCAGCCACCTGATCTCCGTCACTTGATGCTGGAGTGGCTGCTGGGTTATCTCCACTGTCCTGCTGGACTGCAGCGAAATGTTGCTGTCGCGGACCAGTTCGTGCCTTTTCCACATAGGTCGGCTGCCATGATGTTGATTTCTCGTGTGCAACTAACCTGTTGGTCTTGATAATCTCCCTCGCTTTGTCAATGATCTCCGCTAAGATTGAGGACTGCTCGCCATCACCAAAAGTGGCTCAATGCAGCACAGGACCTGTTGTAGAACTCATGGCGTAGCCACAATCTTCTGCCACTCCGTGAGCCAGTCCCGTGTTGCTCGAATGGTAAGTTCAGATTGGGCTCAGCCACAATCTTCTGCCACTCCGTGAGCCAGTCTCGTGTTGCTGTGTTGCCCTGTGACATGGTGAACAGTCGGTTGATGGCGAGTGTTGGCGCGTCGTCGACGATGAACCGCTTCTTCCACAGCCGTGTCAGCTCCTCCCATGTGATTACGTCCTTCAAGTCTGGTACGTCGACGCCGTGGGAGGTTGCCAGGTGGCTCAACCAGGTCTGGCATCCGCCCTTTGAGTTCAGGAACAGGGCGCCGATGTACGCATTCTTCGCTACGAGAAGAATCCTGAGTTGCGTTGTGAATGCTTCCCACCACAGGACCGGATCCTGCTGCGTGTAGTCGTCGAACCTCTCCAGATTGAAGGTTGGCATCTTATACATCTTCGGATTGCCATCCGCGTTCGTCGTCTGCAGCTGCTGGACCTCGGTCTTCAATGTATGCAGCTGACTGCTGATGGTGGTGGTCGGCGCAGCGAACGTGCTGATGTTGCCGAGCATTGCCACTACGTGGTCAATGTGGTCCTCCATTTGGCGGCTAGAGGGTGCACTGTTGGAAGCCCCAGCAGCTGGTCCTGGTACAGCCTGTTCCAGGTCCAGCAATCGGGCGTTGAGTGCCCGAGTTGCATCCTCGTGGCTTTGCACCATGCAGTGGATCTATGCCAACTCCTGATGCTATTGCGTCAGGTCCTGGTACTGTCTCTCCAACTCTAACCGTTGGTAGTTGCAAGCATACAACAACCGCGTCACGCGTTTGGAGAGGAACTCCTTGTGCTTCTCTTCCAGCGTTGCCTCGTCTCCATTCGGTTCAAAATTCCAGTACTTGAGTCTGTCGATGCTGTTGGCTTCATGCCGCTGCAGCAGATCCTGGGCTTCCTTGCGGCGAGCTTGGGCATCTGCGTCTGCATCGGCCTGTAGCCGCAGCTGTTCTGCTTCTACTGCCTCTTCAGCCTGTACGCGGGCAACCTCGGCTGCCAGCAGGCGTTGTTCCTCAGCCTCAACTTGAGAGTGGAAACGCTGCTTGTAGGCGCGAAGGGACTCGTTGGGCAGTTGCTGCAGCGGGCCTTCATCTGCCCTAGCCCACAGCCAAGGCCTATATGGCTATTTGCCAGTCCGGCCTGTGGGACCAGGCCGTGGCCTGACCCAACAGGCCGTGCGGTTCAGTTGCTGCAGCGGGCCTTCATCTGC